GTGTGTGTGTGTGTGTGTGTGTGTGTGTGTGTGGAGAGTGTATGTGTTGACATGTGGGGTGGGGGTGTGTGAGTGCACATGGACGTGGAGGCGCTGGGTCACTCTCAGGAACCCCTCAATCATCTTCACCTTGTTCCGTGAAGCAGAGTTTCTCAGTCAGACCCAGAACTCCTCGACACGTCTATTTGCTTTGGGGATTCCATCTGCCCCTTCCCAGGCTGCATTAGAAGTAAGCCCCTCACCCCTCATCCCCTCACCCTCACCGGGGATGTCTGTGGTTTTGAGGATCTGAACTCTGGTCTTCATACTGGTTGTAAGTATTTTAACCGCTGTGCCATCTCCTGGCCCCTGGCCAGGCTTTGATCAGCAGCTCCTAGAGCACAGAGCGGCTGCATGCTTTCCGGTGTCACTCTCTGCGAGTGTACACAAACTCCGTCTGTCCACTGCTCTTGCCAGCTGCCTTAATGCCGGTGGCCTGTTCTTTCTCCTCACCCAGGCACCCCTGGCACCTCCTGGTCCCGCAGAGCCTCCTCTTGCAGGGGGCCTTTACGGTGGACAATCAACGCCAGCGTCGCTCCCTGGAGACCAAGGCTGTCCTGAACGGCCGGGAGGAGATCCTGCACACTGTGGAGCTGGGCCGTCGGGCTAGACACCTCTATGTGCGTGGGCTGTCGGGAAGGTGGCCTCTGGGAGCGTCTGGGAGCAGGGCAGCCTCTCACCTCTGCACATGTGTCTCCCCCAGGTCTGTACAGGCCTGACCCACCCCTACGATGACAAGGCTATCCCCCAGAGCCTGGAGGGGTGCCTGGTGGCTGGGAACCCTCACAGTGTAAGTAACCTTCCCACCCCAGTTGTCCAGGTTCAGTTTTGTGGCTTCTGCCCCAGACTAGCACGAGGTTTCCCTGCCTAGGCTCCCATCTCACTCTGTGTCCCCTGCTGTGGTCTTCTTGGCAGCCACAGGGAACTTTATAAGGCACTAGCTCGGTTTGTTACACCCATGCTCCAAACCCTCGCAGCTTGTCTTAGGATAACGCGCTCAGTTCTGATTCTCTGGTCTCCGCTGCCAGAGCTGCCTCATCCAGGCCATCCATTGCCTTGGCTGATTTCTTCTCTATTCAGGGCCGTGGTACATTCTGCGGTTGGAGCCATCACTGCTCCTTCAGCTAAAGCTCCCTTCTGCCGTCTGTAGAGAGTGGAGTCCCACCTCAGGCCCCTGCAGGCTTTCCTGCACCCCCGCCGCAGCACCCCCTCACCTTCCCATCCCCAGGTCAGCCATGAGGATCTACATGACACGCCCGCTTATGTTTGCATGTTTATTCTGCCAGTCTTGGTTGCTCTGTTGGCTTTAATGTCCCAGTCTCCACTTCCCCAGTCTTCTGTGAGGTGAATGATAATTGCTAAAGTACTTCAGCAAGCTTAATGCTATCTATCATCTGCTAGGCTGCAGCACCAACAGTGTCTCTCTTAGGCCTGTGAGTTCATGGTCTCTGTCATAGTAACTTCACACCTCTGTTCACCGTGCAGGTGCGGTAAGCAATTGTTTAGAGAGTACATGTGACTATGTCCCAATAGAACTTTGAGGCTGGAGGGATGGCTCAGCAGTTACTTGCTGCTCATCCAGAGGACCCTAGTTCAATTCCCAGCACCCACCACCACCCTTACCTCCAGCCCCAGGCATCTCATGGCCTCTTCTGGCCTCCACAGGCATCTGCACTCATACTTAGAGACGCATGATTAAACATGCAAATAGCAGAAGGCAGGGTCAAGAGGATCCCTGGGAGTTTGAGGGCCACCTGGCCAGATTCCAGACCAGATAGGACAAAGCATGCTGTACTGGCCAGTGGGCTACAGCCTGTGGTAGCAGATTTGCAGTCTTGGCACATACGCCCGAGGCTCACATTGCCTGTGTGTCATTAGCAAGTCTGTGTCCCTGGGCCTCAGTCCCCTTTCCTGTAGAGTGGAGACATGTCTGTTTTCACGCCGTGACCTATGCTCAGTATGTAACTGGTGACCTTTCCTAAACACGTGAAATGTTTACCAGGGCCTCATTAGATTCCTTTCCTGTCCCTCTAAGAGCGAGATCACCATAATCGCCAAAAAGCATTTATTGAACACCTACTGTGCGCACAGGGAATAAAGTAGTGCTCTTCTCCCTCAGGAGGAAGATGAAGCCAAGCCTGCAGTGGGGGGCTGGATGCTCCATTCCAGGGCTTCACTTCCCTTTAGTCAGGGGGCTGGCAGTGGTTCCTCCAGATGCTGGCCAGTGACGCCCTGCGCATGTCCGAGGGAACACAGTACATAATGCCAGCGTGACACTGGCAGGGGTGGCTCCCAGTGGCTTTTTGGGGGTCCTCAGCCAGAGATTGCTGAGTGGTGCTCCAGGCCAAACAGCGTCGCGCATGTTTTTATGGTCTGTGTACTTTGAGAACTGGGAGATTTCAGACAAAGCCTGGATTTCTGTTGTTTATAAGAAAAGAAAAATCAGAAGTTCTGGCCCTGCTTAGACTCAAATCCCAGCTGACAACATCTGGCCAGGATCAGGGGCTGGGGAGGCCTCCATTTACTGTCATTGTGCTGTTTGCTCCACTCAGAGCTGCGCCTTAGCGGGAGGAACTCCGTGGCAGGATGATCGCCAAGCTCTGAGCTCTGGGCCAGCACTGCAAAAAAGAATAGAAAGGTTTTGTCACACACATTTTCCTCCCTAGCTGCTTCTTTGTCTTCCATCTTGGTTCCAAGATACCATGTTTGCTTGTATCTAAGAGTAAACCATCTTGAGTGAGTCCTTGGGGCAGGCAGGCAGTTCTCCATCACCACAGAGAGGAAGTGGTGTCATTGTCTCCCAGCAGCTGGTAAGTGGTTGTTGAGAGAATAATTGGTTACTGAGTGTTTCCTCTTGTTGGGTTACGTATTGTTCCAAATGTTGCAACTTAAAACAGTGTCTTTCAGTGCCTGATCTCAGGACTGCAAAGGAATCTCAGTGGGTTAAAACTGGAATCAACATCACTGAGTTCCTTGCAGTGAAGCCATCTGCACCCCTTGGCCCTTCCATAGATAGCAAAGGAGTGATTATCACTCTTTGTCCAAACATGACCCTCCTGCTGTCCCCTCATAAAGTCCTTACTTAGATGAAGATTGAAACCTCAGGGTCTGGCCCCACCTCAAGATCCCTAAATCTTTGCTTAGAAGGCAATCTTTCCTCAGGCTGCAGGGGTTAGGATGCAGTCACGCTGTTCCCCTTGCTACTCTGTGCCTTTCTCCCACTCTGTGCCACACTCCCACTTTGACCTTGACATTTCCGCCTAGAAATAGTGGTCCCACATTCATTAAGCACCTACTATGTGTTGGCATCAGAGTGCTTGGAAGCTAGCAGAGAAGAAAATAGACCGCCTGAGCCCCGCTCTGTGGGGAGAGGCTTAACATTGCTTTCATCAAGCCCACCCACCACCTCTAGCAAGAGCACTGGTGCTGCTCTACTGGAAGGTCCAGCATGCACCTGGCTTCACTTCCTCTTCACTTCCTCTTTGGACATCAGTCTCTGGGCCCCTTCCTTTTGATCTTTGAATTCTGTGGTGGCTTCTGCTGCACGTGGACAAGATACAAGATTACACTCTGGTTCTCACACACTCAGGCTAAGAACAGTGAGGCCAAGGTGACACTAAAAATCAACCAGAAGGTAGTTCTGCACCTGAAGGGCTCACACCAGGGCAGCTCTCAGCATAGAGGGATCCAGCACAGCGTGGCTCTGTATGCCACCCGTTCCAACCAGGTGAGTGTCCCCAGGCTGGGCAAATGCTACCTAGTTCCTGCAGGAGGAGCCTGGGGTTCTGTTATGGGGTACACACCTGTAATACCAGCCACTCAGGAGGTGACAGGAAAATCAGGGGTTGAGGTTGTCCTTAGCTGCAGCCTGAAATTGTTTAGCCTCGTAAGTGAGAGCTTTTCCTTTCAACTTTTAGTATATATATATATATATATATATATATATATATATATATACACACACACACATATATGTATATGTATATACATATATATGTATATATATGTATATATATACATATGTATTTAGTTTTATATATATATATACAAACATATGTATGTATATATGTATGAATACACGTGTGCACTCCTGTACATGTGTAGAAGTCAGAGATTAAATTGAAGGTGTTAGTCCTCTCCTTCCATAGTGTAGCTCTTTAGATAGAGCTCAGGTCATCAGGTTTGAAGGCAAGTGCCTTTACCTGCTGAACCATCTTGCCACCCTGAGACTTTTTCTTAAAAAAACAAAAAACTAAATAAAAATAAAACAAAACAGAACAAAAGCCAGGTGTGGTGGTACATGCCTGTAATCCCAGCATTCATGGAGGCAGAGGCAGGCTGATCTCTGTGAATTCAAGGCCAGCCTGGTTTACAAAGCCAGTCCAGGACAGCTAACACTACACAGAGAAACCCTGTCCCTGTCTCAAAAAAACCAAAAACCAAAAACAAACAACAAAACTACCACCACCACCAACAAAAACCCCTAAGTATGCTGGGGAGCAGGTTGGGCCACCCTTAGGATGTGATTACTCCTGTCTGTTTCCTCAGACCCTCCTCTTGAATGGTAGCTTTGACCTTTCACGGCGTCGACAAGGAGCATTTGACTTCATCGTAGATGCACAAGCTGCTATCAATCACAATGCCACATCCCAGGTCAGAGGCTGGACTCTGTCCTCTAGTGAAAAAAAGGGTCTAGTCGGTAGGACACTTGCCTATCATGTATAAAGATCTGGGACCCGTTTCCAGCACATAAACAATGCATGTGGGCCAGGTCTGTAATTACCCACACACCCACTCTATACACAGACCTGGCCCACACACCCACTCTACAGCACAGAGCAGCCCTGGTCCAGGTGCCTACTTGAAGATCCAAGCAGGTGCAAGGGAGGATGGAGGTATTTCTGAGGGCCAGGCCTTTCAGTAGCTCCATCACGCCAACCAACATCCCTGGCCAGAACTCACTGGAAATCCCAGCTGGCTGCAGGGAAGGCTGGGAAATGTATTCTGTCTGTTGTGTCCTGGAGGAAAACCAGGAATCCCTTAGAGGGGCTGATGTGGGTGTATTTCTGCATCCATTCATTCCCATGTGCACGCCCTGTGTCTGCCTTATGCCAGCCTCTGCTGGTGATGGGTGACCTAGACTTATCTCCATTTCCAAGGATCTCTGAAGCTGGTGGGTGCCCTGCTTCCTGTTCAGTTCCCAGCCCTGTGCCCACTAGCTGTGTGGTCTTAGGTAAATCACTCAATGCCTCTGAACCTCAGTTTTGCTATCTGGGAAATGGGGTGGTAACACTAACCCTGTAGAGCAGTGTGAGGTTCAACAGGGTCAGGGTCCCAGGGTCACTGAGCCAGGGGCACAGTGCAGGGTTCATGGTCAGCGTCCAACAGGAGGCAGGTCAGCAGCGGGGGAGCTAGGGGAACCCTAACACCAGCTTCCTAGCTGCTTGCTAAGCATGATAGAAGCTCACCCCTCTCTTCCCTCCCATGCCCCAATAGGTCTTGGTCCAGCTGAACAAATCAAGCTCCTACTTGGCATTTTTCTTACAACTCCAACCTCCAGATGGGCTTGCCTTCCTGCCCAGCTTACAGGTGTGGATGCTGCTCTTGAACTCATCGCCAGCTCACAGGAAGATGGGGCCATGGAGCCTCAGAGCTGTGGTGCTGGCCTCCGAAAGGAAACCCGCAGTTCACTCCTCAAATGTGCTCACCCAGGGGTCTCTCCTTGGCAGCCTTCCCTTCGTGCTCTGGGTGACCTCATCCTTTCCTTTGGCTTCAACCAATTTCTCACACTCTTCCAACTCCCAGCTCCAAACCCCTGAGCTGCTAGGAGCGGCCTCAGCAGAATCAGGGCCAGACAGCAGGAAGCCTTCAGTCACCACCTATGCCACGAAGTCTTTAACTCTGGGATGAAGGCTGTGTCTCTCCCTTAGCAGTGGACGGAACTCTCATTTTTCCTCCAACTTGTTCTGTGTTGGTGTCTAGGGAAAGAAAGATTCCACTCTATACTATAACAAAGGAGTTCAGAAAGACTTCTAGATGTGAAAACTACACAAAAAAATATAAACTCAAGTCAGGTGGTGGTGGCATACGCCTTTAATCCTAGCACTCAGGAGGCAGAAGCAGGCAGGCAGGCAGCCTGGTCTACAAAGTGAGTCCAGGACAGCCAAGGCTACAATGAGAACCCTATGTCGAAATACAAAACAAAACAAACAATCCCCCCCCCAAAAAAACAACAACAGAAAAAGAAAAGATAAAAATATAAAGTGAAACGTGGCTCCCAGCACTGCTGCCCGGCTGCTTCGTGCCCTTGGGGCCAGCGCTTCACCCTGGCCTGCCTTAGCTTTGCTAACTGGAAAATGAGGGTGCCTGTGGCTGTGTGAAGCTGGCAGCTGTGCCATGTGTTCAGGAGTGTGGCACTGAGGTCAGAGGGAGTGTGTTCTGACCAGCGGCAGCAGCATGAGTGGGCAGCCTTCCATTCAGAGCCATTAATAAAGGCCCGATACACTCATGTGGGCCGAAGGTGGCTGTGGGTGGAAAGAAGGAACAGTGTTGTGTTCTGAGCTCTGTGTGTTCAGAAGGAAAGTTTCCCTTCCTCCTTCCTTCCTTTCCTTCCTTGTGTGTGTGTTTTGTTTTAAAGACAGAATTTCATGTGGCCTAGGCTAGTCTTGAACTCACTATGTAGTTCAAGATAACCTTGAACTCTGGCTCCCCCTGCCTTTGCCTGCAGAGTGCTGGGATTACAGACATGCCCCACCAGATCCACTTTATACAAACCCACCCTCTAACTTCTAAGGGTACATAGCCCAGGCTCACTTGAAATAAGTAATCCTCTTGTCTCAAGCCCCAGGTGCTGGGACATAGGTGTGTGCCACCATACCAGGCTTGGAGCCATACTGACTGGGCTGGACTTGTACAGCCTGCAGGGCCCTTGGAGGTCAGGGCAGTTAGAGAGCCTGAAGTCTGTCCAGGAAGCTCTTGGCCACAGAGACACATGGAAGTTCAAGTCTTCCTCCTTTCTCTCCACTGTTTCTCTTTTTGAGGCAAGGTCTCCCTTTGTAGTCCAGGGACCCTTGAACTCATGATTCTCCTGCCTCAGCCTCTTAAGTGCTAGGATGCCAGGCATGTTCCAGCTTAGGTTTTCTCTGCTGCCTTCCCTGCTTCTTTTAAAAACTGACATGAGCTCTAAAGTTAAGGAACAGCCAGGACTCAAATCCTGTGTCAGGATCGGGGACGTTGGCTGGATTGCTCCCATTTGTCATGAGGGAGCCCTTGGAGCTGACCTGGCTGGAGGGCTTCTTAGAGCAAGGCCGCCCTCAGCCCAGCTTTCTCTGACCTGTCATCCCTTCCTGCTCTCTCTGCCTCCTTACAGGTGCTGGCTTCCGCAGGACATCACAAGGAACGCAGAGTGGACGCGTCCCTGTCTGTTCGTGTGTCTGGCCACGAGCTGCTTCTGCTAGAGGTGGACACTAGCAAGCAAAATAGGAGGAGCCACCGGGGCTGGGACATGAGGGTCTCACTCCGCCAGGCTGTCTTCAGCACCCCTAGAGCCCTTCAGCTACAGCTGTCCTCCAAGGTCACCTCAGCAAGGTAACTGCCGCCGTGTGCCCTGAAAAGACCTTCAAAAGGACGTCCAGAGACCAAGGCTAGTGTCTTGCTTGGAGAAGCCATCCCTGCAGGCCCCTGCCTCCCGAGACCGCCTGGGTTGGCTCTGGTGTGACAGTCTTGACGCAAAGGCTGGGAGGGCAGGAGGGTGGCACTAGTCCAATTACTCACTCATGTGCTCAGGAAACTGCAGCAGGAGGATGGTGAGTTTGATTCCAGGCAGGGCTAGAGAGACCCTATGTCAAATGACCTCTTTCCCCTAAGAATGAAGCAAGTCACCAGACACTCATAGGGGCTGCCCAGGTCCTGCCACTCTCCTCCTGACCATTCCCTGAAGCACCCAGGATGCCATGTTGTTGAGAACCTGGGTCTGGGTCTGGGTCAGGCCAGGACTCCCGTACAGCCGCTCAGCCACCTGAGTGTACATCCTTATGGCCATCTATAAAGACATTAGGCAAGTTGCTATTGTTATTGTTGTTGCTACTATTATTAATTTGAAACAAAGTCTCATTGTGTAGCCATGGCTGTCCTGGAACTCATTCTATAGACCAGGCTGGCCTCGAACTCACATAGATCCACCTGCTCACATAGATCCTGAGTGCTGGGATTGCAGGTGTAGTCACCATGCTGATTTGAAGCAAATTGTTGAGCATGAGTGCCCCTCTGTCACCTGTCACCGTGACAGAACCTGTTCTAGGTCAGGAGCTGGTGGGTCTCAGCAGAGGGCTGGACGATGAGTTCTCAAGCTTCCTGTGGTGACAGCCCACGCTGAGACTGGCAGTGTCGGCTCCTGGGTAATGAAGGGCAGGGTCATGCACCAGTGAGACCTGATTGTGAAAGCAGTGCAGGGAGACCGCAGTTCACCCCAGTCCTGCTCCAGGTTAACAAATAAGACCCCACCCTCCTGCTGGTAAGATGGGAAATGAAAAGTAGAAAGAAAGGGGAGCTGTGCTTAAGGTGATGCCAGTAGGAAAATGTGCTCCATGGGATTCTGTGTGCACTGGGGTTGGCTCTGAGCTTCCTAGCAGCCAAGGCAAAAAGAGAAACCAACCAATAACGGTATTTGTAGAGCCATAAGAAAGCACACAGTGCACATGGCTGTGTACATGTGTGTTGGGGAGAACATAGCTGGCCCTGTCCTGGTCACTAAAGGAAAACGTCCCCCGTGTCATTTGGAATTCACTGTGATGATAAGAGCTCTGTCCCTTGCCCCAGGAAGGCAAATTTAACACCAGGCTTCAGGAGTGCACAGAGGAGGAGCCGTAAACATAAGCATAAACACAAATGTAAGCGAATGAGTTCCAGGCTGATTACTGGCCATGTGCCTTGGCTTGCTCATCTGGATGGTGGGGGTGAGGCCTCACAGGGCTCCTGTGAGGTGTCTGATAGGGTCTTGGCAGTGACTGTTTGTGGGGCAGTGTGTCATTAGGAGATACAAACAACCCTGGTGCGGTGCATCAAAGGGACCATTGTACTGTTTGCTTGTAGCCTTTGCTCAGTCAGTTCCCATCTAGCCCCCTACTCAGCTGGGTCTGTGCCAGGCTGTGGACCTGGGAGGGGACCATCAGGCTGCAGCTCTATCAATCAAAACCCACATCCCAAGGCCTGCCTTGTTTGTCTCTCTCTTTTATATAAAAAATTTATTTATTTCATGTATATGAGTGCTCTATCTGCACGTGTGTCTGCATACCAGAAGAGGACATCAGATTTCAGCACAGACAGTTGTGAGCCACCATGTGGTTGCTGGGAATTGAACTCAGGACCTCTGGAGGAACAGACAGTGCTCTTGTCTGCTGAGCCATCTCTCCAGCCCCCTTGTTTGTCTCTTAATGAGGGACAATAATGTCTCTACAGTTGGTCCCCTTGCAGAGGAATGTGGGGAGGTGGCCTTCTGTGTGAAGAAGCATCCCACAAGGATTAGTACCTGTCTGATTAGTATTTCTGTCCGATTCCCTACTGCACAGAGAGGAGTTTAGAGCGGTTGTGTCCGTGTCGAGGGCCACACAGCTAGAATGGCACCCCTGGCATTTGAACCCAGATTTGCCTGACTCCAAAGCCCCCCTTTGTGTGGAGCCCTGGTATAGCACCCCTGCAAGGATTCTCCATGCGGGTTCCAGGAACGCCTCTTGGGGTCCAGTGCCGTGGCCACCCACTTAACCATCTCTCTGCTAGTTACTTTTTTTGGTTCTGGAACAAAACATCTGGGAGGGCAGCTTGGGAGGTAGTATTTTAGCTCACGTAGGCTCACAATTTGAGGGTGCAGGTCATCATGAGGGGAGTGAGAAGCTGCTTGCACACATCCGGGTGGGCGGGTGAGGCAGCAGGGAGCAGATAGGAGCGGGGTAGGACTATAAACTTTAAGGCTCACCCCTTAAAGACCCACTTCCTCCACCTTCCAAAGGCTCTACGGCCCTGCCTAAACAGCGCTTCCTGCTGGAGAACAATTGTTCAGACATGTGTGCCTGCAGGAGACCTTAGCAGTCCCCATCATTTTGCTCCTAGGGTACAACTGTTTTCCAAGGTGCTGCTGGACCAGGACTCAGCTCAGCTACTCCTCAAGACTGCTAAGGAGAGACGGGGAGGCTGGGTTCTCAGGCTGTGGAGCCTTGCCCAGCACTCAGTAGCTGGCTGGACAAAAGTGCCCCATGCCCTGAGCCTCAGGGGTGTGCTAAAGCAGAAGAAGACGTTCCGAGAAGGTGAGAGCTGAGCGATGCTGTACAGTCAGGGTTCTCTCAGGAATGGTACTGATAGAATGAATATGTGGAAAGGGTGTTTGTTGGAGTGGCTTACAGGCTGTGGTCCAGCTCGTCCAACAATGGCTGTCTACCAAGAGAAGGTCCAAGAACCCAGTGTTGTTCAGCCCATGAGGCTGGATGTCTCAGCTGGTCTTCAGTATGGGCCAAAATCTCAGGCATGCTCTAAGGAAGGAATGGTCTTGCCATCCAGAGTGAACGAAAGCAGGCAAGAGCTTCCTTCTTCTGTGTCCTTATTTGGGCTGCCAGCAGAAGGTGTGGCTCAGATCAAAGGTGGATCTTCCCACCTCAAAAGATCAGGATTAGAGGTGGGTTTTCCTACGTCACATGATTTAATTTAGAAAAATCCTTTATAGGTGTGCCTAGCCACTTGGGTTTTAGTTAATTCCAGATGTAGTCAGCTGACTGCTATAGCAGGTGTCTTGGGCCTCCCAGACAACTGCTTCCTCTGAGCAGCCAAGGTAGATTGCCTTCAACACCAAGAGAACTTGGTGAGGAGGCTCTGCAGAGGTGTCCTTATGTAGGACTTGTTAGAGCCTGTAGAGGTTA